GGGCTGGTGACACCGGCTGCCACATCTGTGAAGCTGTGGGATGGTGTAGGGAGGTCATGGTCTCACAGCGGGGACCACTAGGCACCAGTGCCGTGGCTCTAGCCGTGCCTTTCTCTCATGCGGCACCGCCAGTTTTGTCTTGGCTGAGCCATCCCCCCAGGAGCATCAGCAGCCTGTTTGGCTTGATGTCCATCCCTTGGCTGTGGTGCTGACCCCTCAGCGCTGAGATGTCCCCTGCTGCCTTTGTCCCCAGGTGCTGAGTCCTTTGGGTTGTTCTCCTGCGTGATCAATGGGGAGGAGCAGGAGCAGACCCACCGCGCCGTCTTTAGGTGAGCTTGCAGGCACGAGCGGTGTCCCCAGCCTCTCATGGGGCAGAGCCGATGCTGCCCTCTCACCACAGTGGGGCCAGCCCAAGCCCTAGTGTTTTGAGCTTTTGGGAAGCTCTGGGGACCAAACCACTCCCTGTGGCTCATGTCCTGCCCGGGAGTAACATCTGCCCAGGCTGCTGCAGGGGCAAGACCTCTGAGGGCAGCCAGGACCTCTGGGGAGCAGCATGGGTGGAGCCATAGGGATACCCTTTCCTTAGGTGCCAGGATGCTGCTGCCTTTTGAGCCTAAATCTGCTCAGATTCCTTGTTCAGCATCTCAGGTCCCCATGGCTAATCACACCTGCCAGGGCACTGCCTGCCTGGGCTGGCGGCGGGTTTTGCATTGCTCCCTGCCCCAGCAGTGTGCTGGTGAGAAGGTCACCAGCGCTTCTGGCTGGCCAGGTGCTAGTGCCTCCCTGTCCAGGTTTGTGCCTCGCCACGCGGATGAGCTGGAGCTGGAGGTGGATGATCCTTTGCTGGTGGAGGTGCAGGCAGAAGATTATTGGTACGAGGCCTACAACATGAGGACAGGTGACCGGGGCATTTTTCCTGCCTACTATGCTATCGAAGTCACCAAGGACCCAGACCATGTAACAGGTACCAAGCCTCTGCGTGCAGCCTGATGATGTCCCCCATCTTGTGTCCACCTCCTCTCTGTTGAGCAGAGCCTGGTGCTGAGCAGGGGGATGGGGGGAGGACCAAGCTGGGTACCCAGCAGAGAGTGATGGGCAGCTTCTGGTGTGATGCCTGGAGCTGGTACCTGGTGCTGTGGGAAGCCTTCCCTGGGCAGGGAAATGTGCAGGGGTGAGAATATGGAGTGGTGAGGTGGATCTTGGCCCATGTTCCTGGTCACAGGAGACAATCTCCGGCGTGTGCTCTCTTCCAGCTCTGGCCAAGAGCAGTGACTGGGTGGACCAGTTTCGGGTGAAGTTCCTCGGCTCGGTGCAAGTTCCCTATCACAAGGGCAACGACGTGCTGTGCGCAGCCATGCAGAAGGTAGTGTCCCACCCCGTCACCAGGAGCAGGAGTGCCCACTCCTCCTGGCAGCAGGGCAGAGCCTCAGTGGGGAAGGGAAGGGAAAGGGTGAGCCATCATAACTGCTCATGAGTGAGACAGGGCTTTGTCTCTCTGCTTCCCCCTGCCCAGATTGCCACCACGCGCCGCCTCACTGTGCACTTTAACCCACCCTCCAGCTGCGTCCTGGAGATCAGCGTGCGTGGGGTCAAGATTGCTGTGAAAGCCGACGACTCCAAGGAGCACAGCAAGGTAGTGCCCCACTCCCCGCTCATCTCGTCCCTTCCATGGCTGCTGCCTCGTGCCCCCTGTGCAGGTCCCATTTGCATATGAAAATGGAGGGTCTCCACCGTACATCTGAGAGTGTGAGAAACACCATCAGTGGGATTGTAGGCCCACCTCAGGGTCCCTTGCACCCCACGGGCTCCCAGCTTTTGCCCATACCACCGGCTGACGCCCTGGCAGCTGCCAAGCGTGTTGCTGTGCTGGGATGCTGCGAGCTGAGCCATACTGGTAATCTGTCAGCTGCCCCTAAACCTTTCCGCTGCTATTTTGAGCGGTGTCCTCCGGATCTGCCCTGTAATCTCTTTAGCTGGCTATGGCAGGCGGCTGATTAGCGTTCTGCATAAGTAGCCTAGCAAAGCATGGTGAGATGCTGGGCAGAGGCAAGCGAGGGCTTTGCAGCAAGCTGTTGGGAAACCTCCTCTACAGCTGGGGGTAGGAGTAGTTCATGGCTGTGGATGCTGCGGCAGGAAGCTGGGCTGGGGTTTCTACAAGTCCTGCCCGTAGCCAGAGGATGCCATCAACTTGGCTGGTCTTCAAACTTATGTAAATGAGTTCTCATTTCTGGCTGGGACCCTTTGAACACCCAGGCTTGAATGACTGACTGACTTAGTTTTAAGTTATCCATTCACTTTCCATCTGCTGCTATTTCTGAGAGCCTTTTTCGCAAGGGAGAAGGGCCGTGTGCGCTGGGCAAACAGCAGCGCTGCCTCTAGTCCGAGTACAGCCTAACCCAGGGCCACCAGGGAAGCCTTGCAGGAGATGCCGGAGGTAGAGGCAGCCGGGATGGGAGCCAGCACACACCCTGTGTGCAGGTGCTTGGGGCCATCCTGAAACTGCTGCTGGTAGCAGCCCAGGATAAGGCTCCAGTTTATTCTACCACTCAGACCGAGCACCTATTTCCAGGGGCCAGATACTGGCTGTCCAACAGGGGCGGTGGGGAGGAAAGCTTTGACAGGTCCTCTCTCTGTCCCCCAGGTAAACAAGTGTAGCCACTTTTTCCAGCTGAAGAACATTTCCTTCTGTGGGTACCATCCAAAGAACAACAAGTAAGCAGTGGGGCAGCGCGGGACAGCTTTCAATGCCAGCATCTTGGCACAGAAGCTTCGCTGCCTTCTCGCTCCCTGAGGGCAGCATGGCTGGGGTCAGGAAGGGAAGGGGAGGGGAGGCTTCCCAGCACCTCAGTCCTGAGGGTTCCCCTTCTGCTATCAGCCCAGCCCTGCAGCTTGATGTAAGGGCAGCCTACAGATGGGAATTGCATCCCAGCTCTGGGCATGGGCTGTGAGAGCTGGTGGCCACTGTGTTTTTGGGTGGGGGTGCAGGTCCCAAACCCCTGTGCTGAGGGCTGGGTAGACCTCAGGGATGCTGGACTACCTGTGCCTGCTTGTCTGCTGGTCCAGTCTTGCCCACTCTCTTTGCCCTCAGATATTTTGGGTTCATCACCAAGCACCCTGCTGACCACAGATTTGCCTGTCATGTCTTTGTCTCGGAGGAGTCCACGAAGCCGCTGGCGGAGTCTGTAGGGTGAGTCTTGGCTGGGCAGGGAGGGAGGCGCTCGCTCCCGAAGGGCAGGAGGAATGAGGCAGGCAGGATGAAGTCTGTCACCTCCCCATAGGTGTGGGGCTTGGGCCTGGGCCCCAGGCTGGCATCTCTTCCCTCAAGTGAGAGGCTTGGGGCGAGAGCCAGGGCCAACAGGGCTATGGGCAGCCTATTCCTGACAGCACTGGAACAAGTCCCAGTGCAAGGCTTTGCAGGCAGATGGCTGAAAGTCATGCTCTGTGCAGGGGATCAGAGCAAGGATGGAGACTGTGCGGCTCTGATGGCAGCTCTGGGTGCTAACGCAGGAGGGGCCAGGGGCTGGGGGCTGGAGGTTCAAACTGGCCACAGGCTAGGGAGCAAGGGCAAGAGGGGAAGCAGGGCTCTGTTAAATGCCTCAAAGCTGCTCAGCTTTGCTCGGTGCTGTGTTGCAGGAGGGCTTTTCAGCAATTCTACAAGGAGTATGTGGAGTACACGTGCCCCACGGAGGACATCTACCTGGAGTAGGGGCTGGCATAGGCACCTCCTGCACAGCCAGGGCTGCAGTCTCGCCCCTTCCCCGTGTCGTGCATGGACAAGAGCTGCTTTGAGCCTGGAGGAGGTGGGGGCCCAGGGTAGGGCTCCCCAGGGCACGGAGCACCGCCTCTTTTCATGACTCCCCTTCCTCGGGCTGGGGCTGGGGGGGAGGGCTGGACAAATGGGTTTTATTGTACAAAATACTCTTAGTTTATTCTATTGGAGAAGCACCCGCTGGATGCCCTGCCTGTGAGCGGTGGAGGGGTGGGCAGCAGCGTGCTTGGGCCCTTTCCTGCTGCAGGCTGGGGTGACAGCATCTCCTCCTTGTGACCATGGCCCAGCTTCCCGTCACATCCTTCTGAGGTGACTTTTAATGCAGTGGCAGAGTCGGACTCTCGCAGTATGAAGACACAGCAGCTACAGCAAACAAGACCCACATGCTGGCTCCCGCCTAGGAGATAGGCTTGCCCTGGGTGGGCCTGCCTCCCTGCCAGGCCCTGGGGACAAGGCTGCTGGGCAGGGGTAATGGAGGGAGCCCCAGTATCTCCTCTGCCAGATCCAGTGCCAGGATGCACTGAGACAGCTCCCCCCTGCCTCTGCCCCTATCCCGCCCCTCTTGTATCTGTGCCCTGGGGAGAGAGAAAAAAATACTCACCCATACCTCCCTGCAGTAACTGCACCCTGGGGAGGGGAGCCTTTCTCTACCCCTTTCCCCTTCTCCCCCCAGCTGCAGGTGGCAGAGGCAGTGGCAGGGCTGGGCCACCCCAGGGTGGTGGGGCTCTGGGT